CACAGGTGTCATTGCCGACCCCTTCCCCAGCAGCCCCCCACCAGCCCCCCAGGATCCCACTTCACCCTCACCTTCTCCCCGCGGGGGCCGGCCGGTCCCGGAGCTCCCTGTGGCAAGAGAAGAGACCTGAGGGGGATGGCGGTGCGGGGGACGCGCAGCTGGGGCACGGCAGCCCCCTGCTCCTGGGGTGCCAGGTCCACAGCACTGCGGCCACTGCCCCGACTCACCTCTCTGCCCGACGGCCCTGGGCGCCCTGGGGCTCCAGCTTCGCCCTGCATGAGGCGGGGAAGAGGAAGGTGTCAGGGGCATCGCCCCACCCTGTGCCAGGGCAGCTGTTCCAGGGCAGGGCAGGCATCATCCCCGTGGCCACGGCCGCCCCAGCCCACCTCTTCTCGCCCTCGGAGCCCGGCACACCACGGTCTCCCTGCAGAGCGAAGCAGAGGAGGGCTTCAGGGAGCCTTCCTCCACACCACATTTCCCCCTGCCCCAGAGCCCTTTGAGGCCCAGCCCTGAATCCCATCCAAGACCACTGGGCTCTGACAGCAACCTCTGGGCACAGCCACCATGGGGCCATAGGGACAGCAGGACCCGCCAACGCTGCCAAATGGCACGATCCCACTCCAATGCCATCTCACCTTCTCGCCCATCTCTCCCAGTTCACCCGGTGGGTCTCCCTGGCAGAGGAGGAAGATGGGGTTAGGGGCAGCAGGACCCGCAGGGGACAGCACGGGTCCCACCGTGGCACCCAGATCCCTTTTCTCCCCACCGAAGGCAAGGCAAGAGCATCCCTTTGGTCCCCGCACCACTCACCTTCCTGCCCTGCTCCCCCGGCGGTCCCCTAGGGCCCTGTGAAGGAGGATGGAGAAGATGTCACCTCTGGCGTGGCAGGGCAAACGTGCAGGCTGGCTGGAGCGGGAGCCCTCCAGGGTGCCTTCAGGGCTCGGCTCACTGGCAAGGCCGGCTCCTGCCCACCTTACCTTCTCTTGGGAAACTCACCCGGTCTCCTGGGTCCCCTGGGCGGCCGGGTGGCCCTGGGAAACCTTCTTTGCTGTCACCCTGGGGATTAGGAAAGGCAACAGCCATGACCGTGAGATGGGAGTGCCCATGAGATGGGGATAGGCATCCCCACTGGAGAGCAATGCTATGTCCAGCCCCAGCGTGGAGCATCCTCAGTGGCGCCTTACCTTCTCTCCCTTCAGGCCGGGGGGCCCGGCAGGTCCCCGGGGCCCGGGGTCCC